TACTTTCTCGAATTTCACCAAAGAAGAGAGTGTGTTGTCATCAATAACCTGTTGTTGATCTTCAAATAAGACGGAAGATACACGGTAAAATCCTATTACGAGTGACTGGGTCTTTTCAGACAACAGCGATGAGCGCTGAGCGCCGAGACCGCGTTAGCTTCCGCGCCGCCACGCATAGCTTTTAGCTTTTGCGTTTGGGCATGCTATTTTCCAAAAATTCGTACAGCCTATCACTGCTTGCTTTGTTACGAAATGTCCACATTCAGGTCGATACTGCGAACCACTCACGAAAACGGCAGAAGCAAAGAAAGCAAAACATCGTAAACAAAAAAGAAACACTATGAAGCTGTGGAGATTCGTTATGAATAGAATACTCCAAACTAAAACGATCCCGCAATCGAAGTGAAAATATCAAATCCAATTATTAAAAAAATTGAAGGCAGTGAATAAGACAACCACCAAAAACCTGATAAGGAATCACTACCTCCGACCCGTATTGATCGGTGGCCAGCGTTGCCAACAGGCGCCTAGCAACGCTCTGCGCTCAACGCTCAGCGCTCTACTCTGAAAGGTGTCACTGAACACGATCTCTGTGGAAGAGCATGGACATGGAAACAATCCCGCTGCGCGGGGAATCCGGAAGATCTGATGTTCAGACTAGATGTCCCCTACTATGGTAATACCTTTTGGATCTGTGCTCAAATTAAGCACTGCATAACGTATTTCACTCTAGAAATACATATTTAGCAATTAAACTGACATTCCTTTTAATATTACGATTCTTCAACAGCTCGATTTCTTCCAACTCATAGTAGCTTGGAATATGTCTGAAAGGACACTAACACTTATGACCAGCTAACAAAAACAACAACAGGTGAACTGGGTAGTAAGTGATCACTTACGAATAAATCCAAGGTATGAGGGAGGTGAAGGGAAGTATAAGAATAGAGAGAAGTGCGCCAACAAATACCTAAAATTTTTATTTGGGTGAAGTACACTTTCTGAAAATTAAGGGCATCCAAAAACTTACGTCTCCATCAGTGACTGTGATGCCAAGTCCCAGATTTTCTCTCCTTGACAAACCATTGTAGTCTCCAGTAGCGGCTATTGCCCAGTTCACGAAACATATAATGTATTGACCCATGAGGATTGAAACCGAGTAAGCGCTACGTCTAACTCTTTGACGGGTTCGCAGTCCACCTCCTAGAAGTCAAGTTGATAAGATTCTGCTGATTTCCAACGGAGATATCCTTGGTGTGCGAATAGTCTCTAACTGTAAGCGTTCTATCACAAAGATAGAAGTCTAAAAAGCAGGAAGTTTAAAAAGGCGCAATGAGGGCTTGAGGGCTGTTCAGGATGATGGGTGCCTACATTGGACTTCCCCGAACATCCAGAATTCTGGTAACTTTTGAAAAGGCCGAACTAGAGATGATATCGACTATCGATCTATATCGATCAGGATTATCTGTTTCCTGGGAAGATCATGAACAAAAAATTATTTGCAACATTGAGCGAATGGAACTACGGGAATGAAAATTCCAAATAGATAGACGTAGATATACTCCCAGCGTAGGTAAAAATCTGGGTGAGAACGTAGATATACTCCCAGCGCAGGTAAAAATCTGGGTGATCATTGTGACTTGATGGGTTTCCTCTCCATGAGACCTCAAGTCTCAGAAAAATGCAGTGCAGCACCAATTACTAAGGTATCGGGAACTTCTCTCCCATAGAAAACCTCCAGAGCTACTAGCGGACCATGAAAAATAACACTTTGTGGCTTACCTGTGTACATGGCTATATAGGAAATTGTTTCCGCAAGAATATGAATACTCATCACTTCATTTTTCATCTTGATCACATTATCAACTGCTGCCAATCTCTCCGACTGAATTACTCAATTATCGGCTTGAAGGAGAAAAGTAGTCTATCACCCACCTCTCCATCTCCCATAAATGACCCAAACCAATTATAAATTGGGAAACGATAGATCTTTCCAGTATGCAAGTCCTTTATGATCACACGATTACAGTACCATGATTCGCATTCTCCACGGCCGGAATTATCCACCCAGAGTCTCACATAACGAAGATCTCCCAAACACCTGTCAAAAAACAGTGTCCGCTAGCATTCGCGAGCAGAATGGCCCCCTGTCGTTCAAAAGCTCACCAGGGCGTCCTCAAAAGGAAACGGGCAGAAATACCCCATGAAAAAATCGAGGAGTTTCTTTTCACGTGACTTGTTCCAAGTTCGCGTGCAACTTCGTCTGCATCACTTCCATAAATGGTTATGAAGACCTAAATAAGTTAGTACCAGAGAAGCTTTACAAACAATCTTTCGAACTTTTCGGTCAAAAAATGCTCACTCTAGAATCAGTACTAGCACACATACGGTAGCCAGTCTCAACCATTACTATATAGTAGTATAAATCTCCGGGATTGTTGTCGATAGTAGTATATAGTAGCCCCTAGGAATAGCTTGTAAAAGTTGAGTCATCGATACCATTTGGCTTTTTCAGAAGAAAGGCAGACTGGGGCAGTGCCAAGTTAGACCCACTGCCCCACATTTGGTCCTGGTATCAGGTCCTCATTCTATGCTCGCCCAACAGATCCCGGTAAGCCGTTGCTCACTTCATACAATATATTTAAAAACCACATATATTTAAAAGGTGAGCAGAGGTGGTGTAGTGGCAAGCGGCGCACTTAACACACCCATGGTCACGGGTTCAAATCCCCGATCGATTTCAACCTATCCAACCAAGCCTTCCATGCCTCCGGGTCGGCTAAATGGTACCAGGTCCGTCTAGGAGGATAAAAGCGCTGAATTGTACATTGGCTGGCTCCCGCATGTCATTGTATGGGCCACATACGCATTCAATAAGCCACTATGACATTGAATGGAAGTCGAATGCGTGTTCGCACTCCTCTGACGAGATTGATCAACGCCCTTTGTCCTTTCACGGCTTTAGTCGGATGTCGATGTAGTAAATCTAAAGTTCTTGTTAATGCGAGTCGGATCCTAAGAACATCAGAGTGACAGCGTTACCGCTCGGGATCAGCTCTAGCTCGTATCCACTCCGAAATGGAGATGACCTGCCATTACCAGTCAATGAATGTTTTGAAAGCCTGCACTACCGGAATGCACCTTGCCCGACAATGGAAGATATGAAGCTGGACCCACTCGATCGAAATCCATAACTTGTTGATTCAATCCAAATATTATCACGAATATCATGTGTAAACTGATGCAAAACACAATAATAGCAGCTGTGATATTAGGCTGAAATGATCACATTTTAACAGATGCGGGAAGGGGTTGAGCGGCCTTCGCGGTCGTCTTGCCGTAACTAGGTTGCCACTTACGACGCCCTCGGCTAGTCGAGATAAGACCCATCAATTTCGAGCTGTGAAAGATTCTTGGTTCCCAAAACGACGAGTTGAGGCCGACATGCGCGCAGCGATCCAGTGCTGACAAGGTAACCGCGATGGCCCATCTCAACCCGCCAAAATATCTTCCATCTATATGGACAAACCGGTATGTGCTCGTTGACGTACTCATAGGTAAAAGCAGTGTCTGCCAATGGACTAAAAAGGCCCACGAAGAACGTGGTGAGGTGATGGACTGAACATTTTACGATTTTGTTGCCATAATATGAATCTGCCTGCAATTTCGCTTCATCTTGCGTGATTTTTTCGTCAAACATAGAAAAAGAGGTAGACAAGGAAGGAGGGGAAATGTCTGTGTAGAATGACAACGTACAAGTGGTTCATGCAAATCCATAGCATAGACCTTCAGATNCCCCATAGCGCGCGCTTGGATGCGGGCGCGCAACGTAATTTCCAGGAAGAAGTACCCACACCCAATTGATTGCCAAGCACAAAATCAAGCAACTATATGACTAGCCAGTGCTGCACAGACGGATAGACAGGCAGGCAGGCAGGCAGGCAGGCAGGCAGACGGACAGACGAAAAGACAGACTGACAGCGAGTTAGTGAAGGAGAGGCGAAAGACAGAGAGGCAGACAGGTACAGACGGATAGACAGACAGACAGAGGGAGAGGCCGAGAGGTATACATACATATGGCGATGAGGCAGAGAGGCAATGAGACAAAAGACAAAGAGGCACAGAGGCGGACAAACAGAAAGACAGACATACAAATATCGAAGAGGAAAGGAAGGACACCCTTCGCAGAAAGGCCAGATGGACAAATGGAGAGAAATAGAAATTGAAGTGAAGCATACAAAGAGATTAACAGGAATATAGCGAGTAGGACATGCACACGGTCAAGCAGGTAAGCGAAAATAAATAAGATCAACATAAACTCAGGTACATCAGTCAGCTCATCATTCATAGGGATGACTTACAACATCGTCTTGATTGACAATCAGGTCAGTACTATTTTGATAGTAATAACACCCTTTAGTCAGCACTCGTACATTGTATGTGAATGCAAAATCTGAATGGATTGTTAGCAGATTTTCAATAGCTAACATTGAGCCACATCCAACCTTTGACAAAACAAAAATCGTCTTGATTGATTCCAGGAGGTGGTTCGTACTTGACGCAATTGCTGGAGCTTTTGTCAACCATGCCAATACCAACGTAGTATAAACCGGTTTTGTTGTGGAGTTGGTTAAATGGAATATAAATGAAGGAGGAAGCTAAATTCTATCGCTATCATGATGTAGAAGTGCATAAGGTGACTAAACTTACTCGTTGTATTCAAATGATACATGAAGTCGTGATCCTTTGCTAATGGTCCTGGAAGCCGTTGAAAGGCTATGAAGGCGTAGGCCTTTTGATAAGCGAGTTCTTGTTCAATATATGGTTCGATCTGAAGTCGTAATGTTGATTCAAAGAGGTGAAAACGTCCTAAATAAGACTGACAAGAATGACTAGAAGATTCGTAACTAGAATCCCATACTTGGAGCTTCGATGTAGCTTGTTTTTGTTTTTGAAAATTGCGAATACGTTCGTGAAAAATGTAACAAATAAGAAACCAAAAAGAAACATCAAAATAACAACCTCAATGAAGATTGAAATGTTCCAAGCCACTGTTTCGAATGTGAAGAAATCAAGAATTTGGTAGCTTTTGAATGTCGATGGGTAGCCATGAGCGATAGTTGAAGATTGTGCTGGAAACCCGCATTTACACTATAGGATACTTTTTTATATGTAGGACAGAAACGGAAATTCATTACAGGCAGTCGGTTCTTACAGTAACCTAATGGACGAAATAAAATGGGGTATGTTCACGAACGTGCGCCCGAGGATGCGCGCGGCAAATTGCGCGGCGAAGTTCGTAATGATTTGAGCGATACTGGCGCCTACCAATGGGGCCTAAATTTGAAATAGAGTGGATTAGGAGGATCATCTGACCCTACTAAACTACTCATTTGAGTTTGTGCCCCGAAAATTGACGCCGTTCGTACCATCCCCCAATAAAATGCAATGGATGCAGAATTTCACAGCCAACATATTTCCTTTTACGGCATAACCCCTTTTTTATCTTTGTTCTCTACTGGTTAACAATTATTATAGGAAGTCGCCGGTTTTCTAGTGTCGTGGCTTCCGGCCAGCTTCTAGAAAGGCCACGTGGTGGTCCCGGCGCGAACTGTATATCGGCGTCTGCGTGTTGGCTAGAAAAGATGCGATCTCTGTCCTGAAAGCGTCAGTGTGTCTGTGTTGCCGTCGTCGAACCTGACTGCCACTGCTACGCCATCCTGCTGTTGAAACATACTCGAGGAAGACGATTTGATGAAATGAGACCAAGGACATAGAGATCGACTCGAGCATGGAAGCCCGAGGGCGCCGATAGATTCCAAGTCGCGGGGGAACGTCCGTTCCGTGCGTCAGTCGGTTCTAGGTCGCCCCACCGAAATCGCGCGCGGCGCAGCCCACTGCGATCTCGAGATGGCATTACATTACTCGGTGTCAGTGGAGTGGATGATTTGCATTAGTCCGTGTTGCCTTCTCTAAAGCTTGACTGCCGTAGACCAAGCGCCAATCGTATACCCCACTGACATCTGCGACGTCTGTTAAAAATCGCGGGCTGACGTGCCGCGTGCAACGGCTACAGCGTGACCCGTTATTTGGTACCGTAATACCGTAATATTTGATTGTTGATGTATTTGATTGTTTTCCTTTTATATATGTGTGCCGTACTTTTATTATTCCTGCTTTTCGATCATTGCTGGCGTAGACATAAAGGAGTATTTTGAGTATTGTGTTGAAAGTGTGATACTATGGTCGATGCACACGCCGTGATGTGTTATATCCATTTTAATTGATGCAGTTGTGTTGTGTGTAGGCTAGACCGTGTCGTAGGACGTCGCTCGCGTAAGGTGATAGCTTGGTGTAGGACCACCGTGGGGCTGCGAAGGTCAAAGCAACATCCCGCGCAGCAAGGGATCAGAGAGAGCATCGCCTAAGAAATCGATCAGACCCTCACGCTGACAACGACGCCGCTCCTAACGCGGTTAACTCCGACGCCTAACTACAGCGAGGAGCAAGACGCCGCCGCTGGCGCTACCTAGAATAGTATGGCTGCAGCCCTGCATAACCCTAACAGTTTCACTGGTAGATTGAACAGCTTAAGAAACATTTTCCACTTACTAGATCCGACTCCAGTTATATTGATTGGCTTCGATGTATTTGTTACCCTAAAAATAAGTGAGAGGTTTTCATAGAGTTCACTCTGCCTAGAACCACTGAAGAGAGCTTACGGTATTGGCGTTCCATCCATATATTCCAGCTGCACTGATACTGATCCGGACGTGACAAGTACGTCAAAGTTGTCTAAATACATGTAGGGATTGCGGGTAAAGCACCACATCCCTAGCCGAAAATCCTCTTTGTCAGTGAGATTCACTCGCAAGTCGGCCAAAGATGGGAAGGCCACCTTAAACGAAATGAATTGTAAATTCTGAGTTTGTTTAACGGCATGGTCCGGAAGGTGTCTCGATCGCTGTGGCCTATCGATCGAGATACCTAACGCAGATGGTGCCCTATTGACCCGTTTCTATTTCCTTGGAAGGCAATAAATAAAGTAAATAACTAGGCGGGTTCGATTTATCATTCATACACTGATATGGAGAGGAATACGTTGAAATTAGAGAAAATATAGCAATTTCAGTACTGTCACTGAATCTTCGGGGATCGTTGGGCAGCCGTTCTGATCCATCTCGTACCAGATTGCCAACATCAAAGTCATAAAAAACTTTGATAGTGTGGGAGAGAATGGACTCGAAATCTGGCGCCAGAGGGAAGAACTGAACATTCAGGTGACTACTGATTAATTTCTTCTCAGATGTGGAAGCGTGCTATTACGTGCAAATAAGACGGCTACCCTCCTTTTGGCATCTTTCATAGTCCACGACCGATCGCGGACCCATCTCACGAGCGACCGGCGACCGGTCGCGCGACCGATCGCGCGACTGGTCGCTCGACTAGCCACTCGATTGATCGCGCCACTGGTCGCTCGATCGGTCGAGGAGGCCGCGCTAGTTATGGGTGCCGCCGTGGACGGTCCCGCGCGATCAGTCGAGCGACCAGTCGAGCTACCAGTCGCTAGCGACCGGCGACAAGTCGCGCGACTGTTCGCGCGAATGGTCGCGCGACCGGTCGTGGACTATGAAAGATGCCNCCGGTCGCTAGCGACTGGTCGCTCGACTGTTCACTCGACTGATCGCGCCACTGGTCGCGCGACCGGTCGTGGACTATGAAAGATGGCTTTCTGCACTCTTTCACCAACTGTTGGAGAAGAAAGCTCCCCCATCCGCTCGCCCTCATCTACATTTTTATCAGTTATATTCCAATAACATCAGAGAAAATCTTCATCATTAGATCCCACCTTCCATCCGTCACAATTAATAGGTTTATTTAATAAGTATTCAGCATTTCCTATGAGCAGTACCATCGTATTATTCTTCGCCGTCACCTGAAATGTAGTGAATGTATCATATGATTGAGTCAAATAACTACAGTAACTACAGTGGCATACCGTTAAGTTGAAGGGAATGTCGCCACTTTTAATTGCTTTCTCAGCGATAGTGTTTTCCAGAGTCAAGAAAAGCTGTTGAATATGGCTCGCCATTTCGTGACCCTACAAAGTTATGTGATCTAGTTCCAGCTGTTGCCAGCGAATCATTTGTTGATACTGACAATAGCTTCCTGCACAATGCGTGTAGCTTGTTCTGCCCATTGCTGTTGTGTGAGTTCAGTAATGTAGCGAATTGTACCTGAAGATTCAGAGAACTGAGCTGATCTTCACACTGAACCAAAGGGGGGTGGGCAGCAGACTCAAAGATTTTCGTTAATAGACTGGGGTAATGGCGATTGGCATCTTTCAGAGTCGAGCGTTGAGCGTTGGGCGTTGAGCGTCGCCTCTCTTGACAATACCGGCCGTCGATCAATACCAAAAACTTGGATTCAGATGTGTGTCAAGAATCGCCGGGTAGGGCGCCGCAAGAGAGTTTGGTCGCCGAGCGAAGCGTCCTAGAGCGGACCTACCGTAAAAGACGCTCCTCCTTGTTTTTCTACTGTAACTATGCTGTCTTCGCATCTATATATAGTGGAAAATAAGGAAAGCAAAACACCATTCAGCGGTGGTAATAAAGGTAAACGGTTTCTCTAAAAGAGAACTGTAAACACGTTGCCCTAAATTAAAGCTATCTTCCCACGGGTTGAAGGCAAAATATCGTAAGTGGCGTAGAGGGTTCTTTTAGAATGTTATGGAAGGTGTGTGATTATCTTCGGCTCACTGCGATTTTTAGTCAATTCCAGACATGCACATCTCTTAGGTGGTTCGTTAGGAGTTCAAAGCTCCTTATACACATTATATGAGGTTGCACGTGGCATAGTATTGGAAAAAGGACCGCAGTGGCGATTCCTGCCTCATGGCTGGAGGTTGCGACTCGACGATAAGAACTGAGGAACATTATTGCAACCCATAGTAAATTCCACAATTCTACCATTTTCTTTTTGAAAAAAACGTATCAATAAGCGTTTCGACTGGCGTCTCGTCGTCAATGGAAGACTGATAAGAGCGTAAAGCGCTCTTGTACTGAGAAACGGGACTTACCTGGGTTTAGAGGTAAGTAGTTGAAGATTTCGTTGTAATTCTTCTTTTCATAGTCAAGATTCTTCTGTAGATCGCTCCATAAGGGATCGTTTAAGGTACATTTAAGTGCCTCCGCAAGAGAATTCGATATAGACAGCACGTTCTTTGCAGCCTTCAAGAAAATCTATGCTTATACACACAATATTTCTGAACAGATCTTGTTACTTTACTCTTTTTTCTCGATTCTCCGAAGAAGTCCTAAAATTAAGAGATGAAGGGCTGTTCATAATTGTCGATCTCTTGTATGTGCGATTTGTAACTCAGTAGCATAATCACGATCTTCCTCATCATAAGTTTGACAGAGACAGAAGAAAGTCTCATTTGCTACTCAGAGTCGTCCTTGAACAGCGAATTTTCCCCGCTTGATTGGTAAAATGTATTCTCTCCAAGGGGAAGATTTGAACATCCAGTGGAGTGTCAAGGTAAATTTTGCGTATTCACTAACGTTTGCACCGTGAATCTGGGTGCAAGTATAAAATGGCATACTTTGCAGCGATTTTGGTGCTATAAAGCAAATATGAACTTTATTATGTTCATACTTTAAAAACTAGCCTGATTAAGTTGATTCATATTTAAATTTGATCCATGAGATTTTAAGTATGTTGTTGCATTGCCAAGTATTCCTGTTATGGTTTTTTGAGCTGCTTGATTCAGCAGACTTACGGCAGCTACCTCTGTAAATGCGGAGGTTATGAACAAACAAGTAACGAAAATTGCTGAAACCAAAACACCCGCAGTCATCACAATCGTTTTTCTAGGGGAGAGCAGTACCTATCGCGGAGGACCGCGATCTTATGGTACTACAATTTGATCAATAAGTTTTAAGGCTCGCGTCATTATCCCTTGCTTCATCAGAATCAGCGTCAAACTGTAGGATGACTCATAGCCACGATCCTGCTCTGCTTTACAATATGCCTCTTTTATAGCTCTTGTTACCCTTTATTGCTCTTGTTCCGCTTTATTACTCTNTATCGCGGAGGACCGCGATCTTATGGTACTACAATTTGATCAATAAGTTTTAAGGCTCGCGTCATTATCCCTTGCTTCATCAGAATCAGCGTCAAACTGTAGGATGACTCATAGCCACGATCCTGCTCTGCTTTACAATATGCCTCTTTTATAGCTCTTGTTACCCTTTATTGCTCTTGTTCCGCTTTATTACTCTTGTTACATCTATATTAAGAATTTGATCCTGTTGTTGGCTGATTTTGTTCATTGTTATGGTTTAATTACCCAAGTTTGAGGCTCCCGTCCTTTGGATAAAAGTGCTAGACTCGATGGTGTGATTCGAATATCCGACA